GGGGGAGTGACCGGGATGGGCGTGAGAGGTTGAACCTTCCACTCCCTCTTCCTTCCTCATCTTCTCCAGGGTGACCCGAGTCGCTCCCCTGGCCGTGAAAAGCGGTCAAGGGGGAGTGACTGGGGCGGGCGTGAGAGGTTGAACCCTCCAATCCTTCTTCCTTCCTCATCTTCTCCAGGGTGATCCAAGTCGCTCCCCCGGCCCCAGGAACGCCCGCACTACCAACCCCGACGGATGTCCGAATCACCAGAGCATCCATCATTGGCAATTTGCGATGCGAGTCCGTTGGGCCCGGCTAGAAGCTAAGCGCGCGCGAAGCGCGCGTGGTTCTAGTATACACATAGATATATATATATATATATATATGTGTGAATACAAAATGTGTGTGGATTCGCTGTACCTTTGTCAATCATCTGGGACCCTGCAGACCGCCCTCCTCTTCCCGAAACGAGATCCCCGGCGTCTGGGGCTCCTGGACGCCCCCGCGAGATTTCTAGGCCTCTGGAAGTCCCTGCCGCGCCGTGCAAGTGGGTCGGCGGCGGTCCCAAGATGCCTCCAAGGCGGTCCATGATTGCTTCCAGCGGTCCCAGACCCCCACCAGACGCCCGAAGACGGCTCTAGGATCACCCCCGAGACTCTGTCGAAGCGCAAAAAAGGTTTATTACCGATTGGTTCTTGCATGATTTCGGGCTACTCGGTTATTCGGTCTTTCGGGCGTCCGAGAACGCCCGAGAGGAACTGAAAGCCGCTCCAAGACGACCAAACAAGTTTCTTGACACTCCAAGGTAGCCCCACGACGGCCCAAGAGGGCTCAGAAACTACCAGCAGAAGGCCCCATGACAGCCGAACTTTGCCCCAAGACGCCATCCGGAAGCATTCAAGTCGTGACCCGAGACCACGGTTCGCGGAGTGGTGGCCCGAGGACCCCCCCAGAGGCCGCCCAAAGGCGCCAGGGGCGTCTGCAGAGGCGCCCGCGGAGCAAACGTCCGCGAGGTCCTCCAGGAGCTCGCATCGGAGGAGGCGCCGCAAACAAATCTGAGAAGGCGGGGAAGGGCTTCGCGGGGCAATGAAGGCTCGAACGGGTAAGAGGAAGAGGAAGAGGGCACACGAGGGAAGGAGACGGAGCAACAATAAGATAACGGCGATGGCGAAATTTGCAGCCAAGAGCGATCGCTGTTTCGATTGATATACCTCTCGCGTTCTGCCTGCATGTTGGACGTGAAGGACCCAGGTGCATTGCGCGAAGCGCCACTGCAGTCTTGTCTGTATATAACATTTCAACACGTAGCACCCTGCAGTCGCGGACAAGAGTGAGGGGGCGGGCGCGGGGTGGGTCGCGGGCGAGTCGCCTAGGGGTCGCGGGGTGGGTCGCGGGGTGGGTCGCGGGTGGGTCGCGCCTAGGGGTCGTGGGGTGGGTCGCGGGTGGGTCGCGGGTGGGTCGTGCGTGGGTCGCGGGTGGGTCGTGCGTGGGTCGCGGGTGGGTCGCACGTGGGTCGCGGGCGGGTCGTGCTGTGGGTCGCGGGCCGAGTCGCGGGCTCGACGACGACAACAAACAAACAACAACAACAACAACAACAACAACAACAGCAACAACAACAACAATAACAACAACAACGACAACGACAACGACAACGACAACGACAACGACAACGACAACGACAACGACAACACCACCACCAACAACAACACCAACAACAACACACGACAAACAACAAACAACACACAACACACAACACACAACACACAACCAACAACAACACACACCAAACAAAAAGCATCAACCAGCAAACAACAAGCAACGACAACAACAACGACAACAACAATAACAACAACCACTACAACAACAACAACAACATCAACAACATCAACAACAACAGCAACAACAACAGCAACAACAACAATCCGCACCGCGGAAGCCCATTTCAGCCATGCACCCAGGGACAGTGAATGTCCCTTCGGCCCCCTCAGTCTGACACATATCCATTTAACCTACACGTGCACATACGCATAACTGATGGATACATACATCTACATATGTATATAGATATATACATATGCGCGCATGAGTACAATATTTAGCCGATAGAAACAGAAACATACCTTGAAACGTGTCGTTGGACATCTGGGCAGGTCGCGGCGGAGCAGGCCGTCCCGAGGCCCAGGCTGGCCGCGGGGGGGGGGGCGGGCGCCACCGCCTGCCGGCGCCGCCCGGGCCTCTGCGCTGGGGGGCGGGCAGAGGCCGCGGGCCATGGCGGGCCGCGCGGGGAGCATGGCGCTGCCGCGGCTGCAGGAGGACCGACGGCGACGACGACGACGCCGACGACGCCGACGACCACGACGCCGACGACGACGCCGGCGACGACGACGACCACGACGACGACGACGACGACGCCGACGACGACGACGACCACGACGATGACGCCGACGACGCCGACGACGCCGACGCCGACGCAGACGCCGACGCCGACGCCGACGCCGACGCCGACAACGACGACGACGACGACGACGACGACGACGACGACGACGACGAGGGCACGAGGGAGGACAAAGGGGGCCGCCGCGAGGGCGCAAAGCTGTTCGCGGCTCGCGGCGCGCGATGCGCGGCGCCTCATCCTCGCGGCTCGCGGCTCGAGTCGCGGTTCGCGGCTCGATTCGCGGTTCCCAGTCGCAGAACCAGCCAGATTATGGCGGATCCGAAGTCCGGGCAGGGGCCGCCGCCAGGGCGCGAAGTGATTCGCGGCTCGCGGCTCCTCACCTTCACAATCCTTCCCTGACTTCGGATCCGCCGTAATTGCCGTGCTTGATTCTCTGAGGTACAGGTTGTGCCAGAAGCGCACCCGAAACGATGCGAGCAAGCAGGGCGGAAGTTTCTGCCTCGAAGGAAGCCCAGACACAGCGACGGCAAACCATGGCGGAAACCATCATCACAGGAGCTTGAACAATTTTGGTCGGCGGGGCGAGAGCGAAACTCTTCCGCTAAAAGCTAGGCGGGCTACGCACAGCTCTAATTGGGGAGACAGGGCACAGGCGGGCGGGGCCTCAAGCGGCCGGAGACAGGAGCTTGAACAAGTAGGGTGGGAATTTCCGACTTGCTGACGGCATCGCAAAAAGTACGGCGTGGCCGATTCGGAGTTGGGGCTCGTCCTCGTCTTCTCCCCTTGGGGGGTGGCGGCGCGAGAGCGGGGACCCTGAGAGCCGACGTCGTGGCAACCTGCAACGCCGCGAGCACGAACGCGACCAGAGCCCCAGACTCCATCCTCCCGCGGCATTGTTTGAGCCGGATCCGTCTGTGAGGTTCCCGGGGCCCGATGCCGAGGAGGAGGAGGAGGAGGAGGAGGAGGAGGAGGAGGAGGAGGAGGAGGAGGAGGAGGAGGAGGAGGAGGAGGAGGGAGGAGGAGGGAGGAGGGGGAGGAGGAGGAGGAGGAGGAGGAGGAGGAGGAGGAGGAGGAGGAGGCGCAGATCTCAGGGCCTTTCCTCCTCTTAACTCCCCGGGGGGGCGAGGGGCGGCGCGACTGCGCGAAGGTAACTCGCGCGCTTCGCGCTCCGCTCGCAGCGCGAGAGCGCGCGAGCGCGAGCACGGCTGCCCTTGAGGAGCGCTGGGGCTCGAGGACCAGGGAGGGATCAGGGAGGGTCGAGGAGCGCCTAGGGAGGGGAGGGATCGAGGATCGAGGAGGGATCGAGGGATCGAGGAGGGATCGAGGGATCGAGGGTCGAGCCGACGATTCCCGCGCAGCGCCGCGCGCAGCGCGCGAGCGCGAACGTTGGTTGCCCCTCGGAGGACCTGCGCGCGCTCCCAGAGGTCTGGGCCCCATCCACGGGAGGCGCGCAAGTCTTGGCCAAGGAGGGGGGAGGGAGGAGGAAGAGGAGGAGGAGGAGGAGGAGGAGGGAGGAGGAGGAGGAGGAGGAGGAGGAGGAGGAGGAGGAGAGGAGGAGGGAGAGGAGGGAGGAGAGGGAGGAGGAGGAGAGGAGGAAGGGAGAGGAAGAGAGGATGAGGAGGGGAGGAGGAGGAGGAGGAGGAGGAGAGTAGGAGGAGGAGGAGGAGGAGGAGGAGGAGGAGGAGGAGGAGGAGGAGGAGGAGGAGGAGGAGGAGAAGCAGGAGGAGGAGGAGGAGGAGGAGGAGGAGAAGGAGAAGCAGGAGGAGGAGCAGGAGCAGGATGAGAAGGAGGAGGAGCAGGAGCAGGATGAGAAGGAGGGGGACCGGCTCTTCAAATCTCTTCAATCTGGGGCCGCTTTTGACTGGCCCGTTGCCCAGAACATTGTCCGCCATGGTTTTTCACAACGCGAGGGGGCCTGGTCGGCATCGCGCCCGTGCGTGCGTCGCCCTCCCCCCAGGGGCAACGCGCGCGCCGAGAAATGCTCCAGTCTATGGTCGGTGGCGTGCGCTTTCCGGCCATACCGCCTGGCTAACGATGTACCAGAAGATGTCTCTACTGTTAAGTCGGGCGTGTCCCTCTACAGGAGGGATATGCCACACTAGTGAAGAAATCGTCGGGGGACGATCTTTTGAGTATCCGTAAGGACTTCGCCCCCTGCCGCCGGCCCCCTCTCTCGGAGAATGGGCCATGGAAGAGCGAAGTCATGAGGCTTTGGCTTCGCCGTGAAGCAGTGTCGGGACGACCCTACGGATCTGCTTGAGAGGTGCCGCCGAATTTCAGAAATGTGGCAAATCCCTTGTGTTTTTGGACCCTGACCCTACGGATCTGCGTGAGGGGTGCCGCAAAATTTTAGAAATGTGGCAAATCCCTTATGTTTTTGGACCCTGGCCCAGCCGATCTGCGTGAGGGGTGCAGCTGAATTTCAGAAATGTGGCAAATCCTTTGTGTTTTTGGACCCTGACCCCGCCGATCTGCGTGCTTTTTTTGTTTTAAAACAATGTTTTAAAGATGTGGCAAGTCCCTTGTGTTTTTGGACCCTGACCCCGCCCATCTGCGTGAGGGGTGCCACCGAATTTCAGAAATGTGGCAAATCCTATATGTTTCTGCACCCTGACCCTGCCAATC